ACAGATATAAAAAAACAGGTTTGCGTACAGCAGGTCCAAGGTCTTATTGTCTCTGGTGGCCATGTGACAAACTGGTGGAAGGTTGGGAGTGTAAGTCTGATTGTTAAAAATATATAAAAAAAACATAATACAGACAGATTGTATCAAAAGTTTCTCATAATATCAGAAACACTCATCTCTGATCAATATTCACAGGAAATAATCAAATCTCTGGTTTGATATAAACTTCCTGCAGTTGTTTATCAGCTGTTGTGTGTTTGTTGGAGTTTACTCACTGATGGATAACGGACCCAGAGAGTATCTATATAATGTGATTTATATGGCCAACAGATGTTTGTGTGCGTCCTTTCACTGTGTCTCTCTGTCTCTATAGAAGCGTGGCATGTGCAATATCATTGACCCCGTAAAGCTCCGGCCAAGCACATTCTATTGAGTCCACACACACACACACACACACACACACACACACACACACAGCAGAATCAGCAGACACATCAGGATGAAGGGAAAGCGTCGAGGCAGCAGAAACTTTTAAAGCCTCGCCTTTTGTCCGGCCTGCCGGGACCTCGCCCCTCGCTCGCCCCCGTGCCGTATATATTGGGGTGTCCAACTTTTTCTCTGTTACACTGTGTGTGTGGTTGTGGGCCAGGTTGGACAACATCCAGTGGGCAAAAATGTCGCAGTACTCTGGAAAGGTGAGTAACACAGCCGCTGCTCGGTGGAACATCTGGAGACTGAAAGCTTTGACTAGTTGGCAGATCACCGGGGTCCTGTGGTAAAACCAGTAACACCTGTTTACCTTTTAATACAAACTACCCTCTGAACCTTTACTTCCTCCTGAGTTTGCCTGTTTTTTTAACGGAGTTTGGTGCTGATTGGGGGAAGCAGCAGAGCGGCCGTAGTTCGGAGGGAAAAATTCTAATTTCAAAATGTTGAACTGCTGAACCGCCGCCATATTGGGGATGTTGGTGTCCTTGTAAAAACAACCAGTAATTTGACTTGACTAAAGTAATGAGCTTCAGTTTAATCTTCTTGTGTAGTGTACCCAGGTCAGTGGTGTACAACCAGAGGTTTGGATTATTTCCTGTGAATATTGATAAGAGTTTTTCTGATATTTTGAGAAACTTTTTATACAATTCAGTCCGTTTTTTTATATTTCTAACAATCACACAGACTTAATAAGCTGCTTTTTAACCAGTTCATTGTTTTATTCTCCCTGATGCTTGACGCCAGCTCATCAGAGTTCAGATGTTAAATCATTCACTGTAATGAGAGTGTTGAAACAAACTCAATTTTGTGAGTTAAAAAACATTCTTGATTAAGTTGTTTTTACTATTTTTTTTCCAGTGGAAAATAAAAATGTCCAAATGAAGTCAGTGTCTAAAGCTAAAGCTACTTGATCAAGACTGTTTTTTAACTTACAAAGTTGAGTTTGTGTAACTTAACATTTTCAATGAAATCAGTTTCAACAATTGTTTTGAGTTAAATGAATTTATCTGGTTTTACAGTTTAATCTTTATTAATAACAGTTTCATTTAGTTTTCTTCTTGAATGAAATACTGAGATTTAGGCCGACTGTGTATATTTTATATGTTTTCTAGTAAAATCAAAAGCGACCCCCTGTGAAGCTTTGGTGACCCCCAGAGGTCCCGGCCCCCAGGTTGGAAACCACTGGATTATATGTTATTTTGTTGGTACTCCTTCAAAGGTCAGGAGTTCAATAAATGTGAATCTGACCCAGGACTTCACCTGACATCTGATTTACCTTTAATCTACTAAATTATTGCTGAGCAGTCGAATCTCCTCCCCACCGAGGACAAGCTTCAGAAAATCAGATGTTGGTGGAAGAAAACCAGTGTTCTCGTTAAACATGGCCGACACAGTGAAACATGTGTATTTCCTCCTCCAGATCACCTTCTACGAGGGGAAATGCTTCACCGGCAGGAAGCTGGAGGTCAGAGGGGACTGTGATAACTTCCAGGACCGTGGCTTCATGAACAGGTGAGAGGAAAATGAGAGTTTGAGCTCAGCTTTAAAAGAAACTGGCTCCTTACGGCTCACAGTGACAGTGTTATTGTTGAGGCCATGTTCGGTGTTTATCGAACTGCAGTGAGCTGGAATCATCTAGAAACAGGAAACTTGGTCCAGTAACAGGAGCTGATGAGAATGTGCTTCTCCACAATCATCCAGTTTTATAGAGGACACTACAGTCCGCCATTTCTCCTGAACCGTCGGTCCGACTGCTACCAAACCTTCTGCGGATCCTCATCGGATGGAGCTGATCAATAGTTGCATTAAGCTTATTGATAACTAATTTAGTGTTGAACATATTGACCAGTGAGCTTCAGAGAGGGTGTGGCTCCGCACATAAACAGACAGAAGTGGACGACTGCTGGACCGATCCTCTCAGAACTCACAGGATTCGTCCATATAAGGACCTAGAACACATCCAAAGTTTCATTCAGATACACCACTAGGGGGCGCTACCAATGCAACAAATGTGTGTGACATAACAGATCTGACTATTGATCAGAAATAGTTTTTCCAATCAGAACTAAACTTACAGGATGTTTACAATGTTGAACTGTGTGTGTAAAATATTGACTTTATATATTGATTTTGTATTGATGATCACCAGCAATCATTTTCAGAAACTATTTTCATACTCTGATTATCTCAGTGATTGATTGATCTGATTGATCTGATTGATCTGATTAATGCTGACAGGTAAACCTGGAGGAGGTTCGCAGTAACACCAAATAAAGTCCTTACGTTGTGTTTACAGGGTGAACTCCATCCGCGTGGAGAGCGGAGCCTGGATCTGCTACGACCACCCCGACTTCAAGGGCCAGCAGTACATCCTGGAGCATGGAGAATACCCAGAATTCCAGAGGTGGAACTCCCACAACGACCACATGGGATCCTGCAAGCCCATCCGCATGGTAAACATCTCTGATGAGGCCAGTTTGCCACGGTGGTCGAACCGTGAACAGCGATGGCTTCTGTCTCGTGATGCCATTACCCAAAAGTGCTTCTTCCCATAAACTCACATTGTGAAAGAAGCGGCTGTAAAAGTCTCTACAGAAGACTTCACTGCCAGAATTTGGTCCGATAACATTTTAAAGTCTAGAAGAGCCACATAATTACATAGTTTATTTCCATTCGAGTCAGTGGAGAGCTAAACAGGAAGTGTGCTTCATCTACGGGCCACATGATGCAATCTGCAACTTCACCACTAGATGCCACTAAATCCTTCAACTGAGGATTTAACTAATGAGAACATTATTTATTCTTTACAATCTTTAGTTGAGCTGACGAGTTTCCTGAAACTGCAGCACAGTTCAATCGCATACAAAAACATTTACACATTCCCCCTTTAGGTCGAGACTTTTAGAGAGTTCTTGTAACGTTTGATAAAGTTTTTCTGCAGTCGTGGTGATGCATCATTTCTGTCTCTCAAACAGCATGGAGAGCACTACCGCATCGAGCTGTTCGAGGCCTGTAACTTCTCCGGTCAGTGTGTGGAGATCTGCGACGACTGTCCCTTCCTGCAGAGCCGCGGCTTCTCCAAGAACTGCATCAACTCTGTCAGGGTCTACGGAGACGGAGCGTGAGTTCAACACACACATACCATAATCACGAGCTCAAGCTAAACATTTACAGCTTCTTAAATGTCTGAAATGATCTGAATGTCTCCGTCTGTCCGTCCGTCTGCAGCTGGGTGATGTACGAGGAGCCAAACTTCCGCGGCCGCATGTACATCGTGGAGCGTGGATACTACTGCAGCCATAATGAGTGGCAGGCCCAGAACCCCAACATCCAGTCCATCCGCAGGGTCGTCAACTACTTCTAAACCCTCCCCGACTCCCCCCTCAACCTCCCCCTCCAGTGACCTCTACTGTAATCATGTACAATAAATAAACCTAAACTAAGATAAGAAAACAAGTTTTTTATCAAACACTCTGTGTGTGTGTGTGTTGTTTTGTGTGGCTGCATTACACAGCTTAGCTTAGCAACAGTTAGCTTGCTCGATGCGCCTGCACCCGCATCCACTCATGAAGTGTTTGTTTGCTGGCTAGATAAGTTAATGTCATTCAGCTAAAAGCACAATCAGACAGTATCTTCCACAGGTTTGCAGTAACGTTAGCCAACGAACATATCCACTCATAAAGACGTATTACAGAGTGAAACAGCACACGAGAGGTATTAAAGTCGCTTCGTTGATTGGACTGTGACAAGAAGTGGGTGTGGCTTAACGAGCGGAGGACAGATAAAGTCCCCTTAAACAAATAATTACTATTTTTATTAATATTATATATATATATATATATTATTAATTATAAATACATTTGGCCTCAATCACATATTTCCAGCTGAAATCCAAACACGTCTTTCCATCATACCGCTGCTAGAATGAATGAATGCAGCCCGTCCGGGTACTTATTTATTTACTATAAACTAATGTTTGTGTTTATTAATCTACCTTTTACTACCACAGAAGAAGAAAACAGGAGGGTTTATCTCCACTTCCTGTTACTTTCTGCTGTTTCCAAGGTTCATTATTAGAAGGTCGGTCAGCTCAGTTTATGGGAATTATTAAGGTTCAAATCCCCTCTGCTCCACACTGTCACACCAAACTCCATTCAAAAAACGGCTGTTTTAAGGAAGTAAAACCTTTATTTCCACCATCAGTGAGACTCTGATTCTCTTCAATCTACAGACACAATCTGCTCACATTGACTCAGTAACATCATTAACTAACCTGTGAGGAAGAGTTGGACACAGACACACTCACTGACTGTCTGTCATTAACTAACCTGTGAGGAAGAGTTGGACACAGACACACTCACTGACTGTCTGTCATTAACTAACCTGTGAGGAAGAGTTGGACACAGACACACTCACTGACTGTCTGTCATTAACTAACCTGTGAGGAAGAGTTGGACACAGACACACTCACTGACTGTCTGTCATTAACTAACGAACAAACAAACTCAAAC